TTTCCTATGGGGAAATTGGTTCTGAGTTGCAGCGTTTCGACTTAAGACACAGTTTCCAGGAACCAATTGTCATAAGTCTGAGGACTGCCTGTATAGAAGAGTCTGTGTTATGTTATGCATTGAGATTTAAAGTCATTTGCCACTAGGCACTAACACTGTCTTAAAAAGGCCTTTGTTTTAACTCTTATGCTAATAGATTTATTTTTAAATGTTCAGAAAATACATTCTATACTCATCGAGTGAATTCTGTCATTTTGAGGAAGATGAACAGTATTCTGCATACACAGAACACTTCAGTGGCTGGATATTTCCTTTGAATGTAAAACTCAGTCTAACTATGAAACTGCAACCAGTGCTTAGCTATTGTTATATGGTTATTTTTTGTTAGCTACTTAATTTCATGGCTGATTGTTTGAGCGTTCATTCTTTGTCCTGAAGAACAGGAGATTTGGTTTGTTTGTTGACACGTAGTTGAGATGCTTTGTGTTAGAGTATAGTAGGTGGAGTAGTCCTGTCTTCTAGCAGATAATGGCAGACATTTTCTTAGGGTAGAATCTCATTTTTATTCTCTATTATTTTCATATCCAGCTATATGCTTTTAAAAGATTTTTTTTAAAGTAAACTTTCATTTACCATCCTTTGTTTTGGATGGAGCTGAATTCAGATGGTTTAATCAAAATCCATTTCATTACATAGCCTTTAGTACCTTACCTGTGCATTGCTGCTGTCTCTCAAGCTGTGGAAATAGGCTCTTTACTGTGGCAGGAGGGACTCAACACTTGTTATAGGCAACAGAAACATCAGCTGTTGAGTACTTCTTCTCTCTGCTTATATGTTTTAGAGTAGGTTCGATTTCAGGTTTTAAACCTTGAGAGTTATTCAAGGGTTGTAAAGTAGAAAGTGGTCCTTACCAGCCCCTCCTTCTTCTCACTGACCCCTTTCCCTGCCCCCAAAATCCTAAAAAAATCCTGGAGGTGGTGAGAAAAGGTTATTACAGTTGGTGAAGGGCTTTAACAGTTTCTTCTACCCAAAACTCAGGGCTAAGAACAAAGGCTCATCAAATTCTTAATATTTAATGGAAAGAGACTACATATGGTCAACGAAATTTTTGACACTGAAAGCTTTCAAACTAATACGTTTGTGAGAATGAACCTTAAATAATTCAAACTTCTAATAGATACTGATAATTCCATCTAATTTAGAGTTGCTATAGTACAATTATGTAATGAATGATAATTTGGAACCAACTTTATGTAGGAAAAGGACTCTGAAAAAGGAATTTTGTTGAGATGGAATAACTGCACGTCTCTCCATTTGTTTGGTGAAGGGGACATTAACCCTTCCCTGTACAAAACCAGATTTCTCTAGCTGGACTTGTAGGAAGCCTAGAAAGATTAGGGAAGAGGAAGACAGGCACACCCTAGCTGAGTGTGAAGGCTTTGGGGCATGGTGCAGAACCCCCTTCCTTCGTGTACAAGCAGTTCTGCCCTCCTCACACAGGACCTTGTAGGCCTGCAGAAATGCACGTGGCTTTGGGAGGGTCCTCTCTACTTGGCAGAATATGGCCCCTTCTTTATCCACTGCCGACTGGATATGATGGGCTGTGGTGCTGAATAAAAAAGAAGTGCTACTCTTTCTTTGTTCTTCCATCCCTTTCCCTGGTTACAGCAAAAGATGAAGACAAAAACATTTCAAAAATTGAAAAGTTATTGTAAATGCTGACATATTTACTAATAAGGGATGTTGGGCTGCAGATGAGGCAGTTTGAGAGGGATGCTTTTTATAGTGGTACAAATCAAAAATGTGTTTTGGAAGGTAATTTTTAACTATGACTTGACTAACAATTTAGAGGGATATGGCTGCACCTTTTAAAATATAATTTTCACAACAGAATAGCATTTAATGCTGTACATTTTGCAGTTATGAGTGGAAATGTTCCCACTTCTTTCTTACACTTTGGCCAAGATCCACAAAAGCATTGAGGCCGCTAAATATCGTTGTGGATCTTGTTTTTAAGGCATTACCTCTAGTACTGGCAATTTTTTTTCATCAGCGATTTGGCTGAGAATTCTGCTACTTAGAACAGCAGTTGGGAGCCAAATGTGTTTTACTAAGTACAAAGAGGTGAAGGTCTGGAATATATTTATCAAAGTTTGGGGGGATTTTTTACTAGTAAAATTGCACAGAAATTAAAATTATGCTTTAAAATTGTCAGAATAATTTAGTATTTTAAAATCTCCTCTAAGGGCCCATTTTAGTTAATGAATGATCTCAATACATCAAAATAGTTAATATATCCAGCAAATTGTTTCCTTGAATGACCAAAAGCATTAGTTCTACTTGCCAGTCTAATCTGCTTTCTTGTTGGCACTGGATGCATTACTGCATCAGTAATTTCTGGTGGTCATTTTCTTGGGGTAGCTTCTACCAGGTTATTTACTTGACAGTTCATCTTCTGAGATAAATGTAGTGTTAAAAATAAGTGAATTTAAGGTATCAGAGGGGCCCCTAGTGTCTCAGCTTTTTGATATTTTAACTATTTGAGGCTTATTGTTAATCCCTGTTTTGGAGATTGAGTCAAAATATGTAAAGAAATATTATATTCTTTTAAAGATTTAACTAATGTTGTGAAGATACAAATCATTTATTTTACTACCTATAAACTGTTTCAGCACACTGAAGAAAAAGCTATGCTAATTTATATAGCTTTGACATTTTATAATTTTCATGATTTTTAGATAAAGGATTTTATATTTAAAACTTTAATAGTCTAGTCTGAGTTCATTTATCTTTAATTTTTGAAACGGGTAGAGTAATTCATAACAGTAATTTTATTCCTGTAATGTAATATTCACTTCAGTTCATTTGTGCATTAAAATTCCTTTAAGACCGTTATTAATGATTTATATAATGAAATGTCATATTAATCACAGAAGTTTTCACATTTTATTATTCTCTTCCATGTTAATACTATCTTTATGATCTCTATTAATGTTTTATATCCTCTAATTTCAATTATAAATCAAGAACATTTTCATGTTTTTGTTGGTATTTGCTTTTCAGGGGTGCCACCTTTAAAATTTTATGACTTTTCCCCCTACATATGCAGTATAAAACATCTTTATTCATATAAAGATAGTTAATTATGTCTTTGTTTATAGTAAACTTCGTTGACAAACTTATAGTTATAATATTTCTTTTCAAGCTCAGAGACTGGAACGACTACGAAAAGAAAGACAAAACCAGATAAAATGCAAAAATGTTCAGTGGAAAGACAGAAATACTTCTTATTCAGGTAAAAAATATATTTTACTTTTAATGTCATCTTTATGTTTGATATTAGTTTGCAAAATATTCAGTTTGTAATTTTCACTTGCACTTCCAAGACATAGGGGAAATACCAGTTCATAATTATGACTTCCTTCCATCCCTCCCCCGTTGTGTGTTCCCCATAGATATTTGACTACCGTCCCCTCGACCCCATTCCTTTTCAGCTCTAACTAACACACAATGATTTAAACTGACAAAGAGAAAATAAAGAAATTGCTTAAAAGCTACTGTCCTTGGTAGGATTTAATAAATTACAATTTTTTAGAATATCTCAAAATAAATATTGCTTATTAATACAGTGGTTGCAGACTTGGTAGCTTATAATATTATTGTTTATCTTACAGTTTTAAGGCTCTTTTTAGCTTGATAAATCAACACTGAGGACAATGAAATTATGCTTGGGATTTTTTTCAGGGAGCTTGTTTAATTAATCTAACAACTGGTGAGATTTGACCCTGCATGCTATATAGGTAGGCATACTAAAAACATCTCCATCCAGAATGGAAGACCCCTCTGTTTAAGCCAGTGAGAGAATATATTTCAAATAAGCTTGATGTTATGGATGAGTGTATGTATAATTAATTTTTTTAAAGGTTGCATTTTCAGATTGTAAAAATAATTCTGTCATTTTTCTGGGTAAGGAGGAATTTAAAAAGACGCTATTAAAATAGAGAAATGCTATTAAAAATAGCTGACCTTTGCCTTCAGGGAGCTCTAGGCTTTTGGGGGCTTTTAAGCAGTTTTCTATCTTGCCTTCACTTGATTAAATCGTTATCAAAAGATGGAAAGATGGTTCTTGTTCTCAATATAACCTATACACATAGGATCTCAAGGAATTTTAGAATTAACTTAATCCAGAAATGCTGTTTTTGGTCCCCTTATTTTTGAAACCAGTGTAACTGTTGTCTCCCCTGCAAATGCCTATACCAAATACCTCTTTTTTTTAATAATTTAGTTTCCCATACTGATATTCTTTGTAATTTAAATGACAATACATGAAATAAAAATTTCATCCCAATTCTCTTATTTCTTAGCTCAAGCTAGTATCTGTTCGTGTTGTATTTGACACACTCTCTCAAAGGCTTGCATGGTCTGTTATGCCTACTTCTTTCAAAATTTGTGTATATCTTAATGAGGTCTCTGTGTAATCTATTCTCTGCCTAAGTCCCTGTATCTTTTTGGGTGCCCTTTGCAGAACCTCTTCCAGGTCTCTAATATCTTTTTTATGAGAATGAACCAGAGCTGCTCACAGGATTTCAGACATGGTTGCACTAATCCCCAATACAGTTTCCAGAATGTTTGATACCTCTACTAATGCGTCCTCAGATGGTTTGCCTTTTTACTCCTGTTAAGCACTGTGGTGAAGGTTTTAAGGTTTAATCCACCATAACCTCCAACTCCTTTTGCTCAATGTTTTGACCACTCAAGGTATTAGTCCTCTCTTCTTGTTTGTTATCCCTTACTATATTGCTTGTTGTGTCTTTGAACTGAAGTACATTTAAATCTAGTTTTTATTCAAGCTATTTGTATTTTCTTCTAGTTAGCCCCACCAACCCATGACGTGGGATGCCTGCTCTGTGGAGCTCTGGTGCCACACTGGGCTTGTTAGCCAGTGGCAGAGGGAGATACAGCTCCCCCTGAGAAATTCTTAGTTTTCTGTTTACTTCTCCAGCTGCAAAACATGAACAGGCCGACCAGTTCTTCCTTGCTTCCAAGTAAATTTAAATTAGAAAAAAAAAAAGAGAGAAATCCTTAAAATTGCCGAGCTCTTGGCACCTGCTTTTATTCGAACAAGTGTTTGTGTTTCTCCTCAAAGTCACAGGGACCCTTTGGCCCCTGCTCACCCTCACGGAGAGCAGCATGGTAGAGCAGAGCCAAAGAAGGAGGGAACAATCCTCTTAACCTCTATCCAAGGAGGATCAGGAAGGCACAAGAAAAAAGGGTTTCAGGGGTATTTGAGCCCCAATAGTTGCCTCAACAGTAAGCGCTAGTGGGGAAAAAAGAGAGCTTCACTATCTCCTTCATCTTACTAAAACTGATTCAGGGGATTTCTCTAGGAGTCAGTCCAAGGGGCACAAAATGAGAGCTGACTGGACTCTGTGCGGGTAAGCTCCTCAGTATAAGTTCTTGGCATGAAGTCTGGGAGTAAATGTGAGCGTAGGATGCCCCTTCTTATTCTCGCAGGAGACAGCAAATCCATGGAGAAAAGGTGGGTCTGGAGTGTGCTTCTTTCCCTTTACCCGTGAATATGTACATGCCCACAAAGGGAGCTCACCTCTGTAGGAAGGGAGGCAAGCATTGCAAGTCGAAACTGGAGACACAAATAGTGAGACACATTTTAAACTACAATCATAGAGGAGAGAGTGTTTATGTTGGAGCTCTGCAGGTGCTTTAGAAGCCTGGTAGGTATGTATCACTCCTTATGCCCCTTGGGAAAAGGTAACCAGGCAGTTAATTTTGTGCTGAGTGGGGGCAAGGGTTAGTTAACACTTTCAGTAGAGCCCTTGTGGTGGAGTAAAGGCAGGCACTGTCACCCATGCCTTTTTTTGAAACTGAAATATTTGATGAGGGAAGTCAGCTTCTCCAGGGAAGGACCCATTTGTGAGCTGCTCCCTGTATCTTCTGGGATCGGTGGTCTCCTGAGTGGGCATTCTTATTGAGCCCATGCTCACCTGAGGCAGGTACAGAGTTTCCTCTTATTGTACCTCTGGCAGAGGTTGCTCCCATCAGGTCACTGAGTCTGAGCAGATAAAGATCCAGGGTAAAATGACTCTTATGCCCATCTCTGTTGGTATTGGCATGCCAGCATAGTTACTGTGACAGAGACCTCCCAGGGTAGACAGGGTCCGGGTGTCTGAAACTTGAGGAGTGCACTTTACATGCAAATGAAGTGGGATGCAGAACTCAGCAAAGATTAACTCCAGACTCCATAGAGCTCGAGAAATTGTCCTTCCAACTTTGTCACATCCCTAAGAGAAATCTGCATAGTTCTTAAAGTATATATTCATCATGTAGCTCAGTTTCAAAAGAAAAATGTTGTGTTTCTACTTTACCAGCTCATGTCAAAGGGAAAGAAGGGTTCAAAATGATCTGTTTCCAGGTAGCTGTCTCAGAAGCATACAGATCTAAAAGCAAAATTCTATCTTTTAAAAACCAAATCAGACTCCGTCAGAGGTGTGGCAGTTCAGGGGCAAAAAGGTTATATACCTCATGCAGAGAAATCTGCAAAGTAACCACCTGTTTCCTCATATCTCTTCTGGATTCTATAAATTGCAAATCCATTTATCATCTAAGGTTGTCAGAAAATAGGTGCTACTTACCGGTCTATCTTAGTATGTCTTGGAAGTTATCCTCTTCTGTCTTGGTACATAATCATAAATACTCCCCTCCCTGAGTGGACATTTGCTTTGGAAATCATGGATAGGTGGAGTGGAAATATTTATTTGTGACTTACCTGCAAATGTCCTTTCTTGGGATCTACAGATCAAACCTCCCTGAATGGGCTGTCAGTTGGGAGAAGATACTGACTGGATCATTAGCTGGTACCTCATGTATATTATTCACTGAAGGCCTTGCTCTTCAGGAGAATTGTTCTATTTAGTGTTAATGTTACATTTTCTATAAGTAAAGACTGGTTAGAGAGTCCCTAAGCTATGGAGCCATCTCAGTTGGTGGTTTCTCTGATGTGGCCCTTCCTCATCTGATACTGGTTCCAGATTTGGTCTGCCTCTGAGCCTGCAAAGAGCAGAGATATTGTGGATCTGTGGACCCTATTGCACGGAGAAAAGAAATATTCAAGTAGGGCATAGATATATTTTCCTCTTATTGCCCCTCTCATATTTCGCTCCCCATTCTGCAACTTTTGGCTCTGGGTGACGTACTTCACCTCCATGCATTTTCCTTAGCCCGTGGTCATGGAATATGAACTGATCAGAAACAGACTGTGAAGCAGCTCTTTTGAAAGACAAAATTAACTTTCTCTCCTGAACTATGTTTCTTTCTCAAACAGCTTGTTGTAATAACCTGTTTCTAAAACAGGCTGCTTTTAAAACCTGCATGATTTTGAATTCTTTTGAATTGCTGGGTTCAATCAAATTTGAACCTGTCACATGGCTAGATGCCCCCAATGGTTCTTTTCTGGAGAGGACCTACCATTTTTAATATACTGGTAGGACTGACAGTGATAACATACTGTCACTGGCACTTGTGAAAAAAATTGAGCTAATTGGTATATAGCATGTATACCCTGAAACCTGTCTTGAGAGACCAACAAATCATTGCCTTTGCAAGAGATAATTGGAAGCAGGTAGAATTCCCAGTCTGCTCCAGAGTGCCCCATGGGTAAAGACATCCACACCTCTCTTTTTTGGTATCTTTACATAGCAAGAGCATAACAAAGTACAAGCCCCTGCCCCAGCTTCATTGGGATGGTCCTTGGGATTCCAATGGGGGCTTCCATCGTCCCATCCTCTAATTGCTCGCGTCTTGGGAAGGACAGGCAGATGTGGGGATGGCTTGGAAGTGAGTAGGGAAGGAAGGACGGAGGATCGCCATCACAGCCCATCATCTGCATGGGACGGAGTCCACAAGATCTGCAAGCGCGTTTTCATGAGAATAGGCCTGTGGCTGCACGTGTACGTAGTCCTTGAGTTTGGTAGACTAGGGGAAAGTAGAGATGTTTAGAGGGAAGCTGATGAGCACGTGTTTAAGGGGACCCTGTAAACAGCAGTGTGAAGGTAGACATTGATGTCTGAGGTACTAGAGCTCTAGACTTTGTTCCCGTTGTGCCAAAGATCTGCTTCCCTCCCCATGCCTCAGTTCTCTCACAGCAGCACTGGTGTGTTGCAGCAACATTCATGTTAGAGATATCTACTTGGGGAACAGCATGTTATTGTTCTCTAAAACAGTTAAACTTGCTATGCCTGACTCAAATCCTCAGGGCAGAATAATAACAAGACTTGACACTAAAACAGTTGTTTGGCCATACATTTCAAAGTGGTAATAAAAGCAGATAAATATTTAGTATATAGATACTGGCGTTTTTTGTTTGTTTGTTTGTTAATGTGTTTTTTGTTTAAGTTGCTGATCAGCTTTTTTGGCCACGTATGCCTGGTTTCCACACAAATGTTGTTTGTATTCCTGCAAGAACTCTGTTGCAGATTATTTTTCTTGAATATTTTGTGGTTCTGTAAATTACAACCAGGAATTTTCTGGTTTTGTATTTGAATGGGGAATCTTGAGAGAGAGATTAAAAGATAGTATGAAAAGTAATGGGGTGCATTAATGTGTTTGCACACGTGTGCATATGTGTGTGTTTTTTAAATGTTGGCCATCTGTCCACCAGGGCTTTGTAATGAGACCCGGGTGGGTTTCACCTACCAAAAGGAAGGCTAGCAGTGAAGTTAGAGAAGCTTTACAAGACAGCCTAAGAAGGTGCTTAATTTGTTGTTCAGATGAATTTATCAATAAGATATTGATGAAACTGAAATATGCAATGAAGTAGGCAAAAAGCAGGATAAATAACCAGTACATTTTACAGTCCTTGAGACAGCCTTAGAGACACTTTGGACCTGTAGAGAATAACATATATAGCTAAAAAATTCCGTACAAGAGAAATAATAATGTAGTGCAGGCTAATTATGAAGATTTCCTTTGAGCAGAAAGTGAGTGCAGTGTAGTAAATCCTAGTGCACTGTAAAGGCATGCTCTCTGCCTTCCTTTCTAAAACCAAAGGCTGTTAAAAGCGGTGTTGCCTGCCATTTCCACTAGGTTTGGCCTCTTCCTTCTTAGAGCCAAACCTGGGTGGGAATTTTTCAGTAAACATTGGTTGCATATGTCTGTTCATCTGAATTGAGACTTTTTTGGAAATATGCCTGTTTCACCAACAGCAAATAGTCCAATGATTAGGGCTGTGATCTAGATTCAAGGCTCTGCTCTTCCTGACTCGGATCGAGACTTAAACCAGGCCTTCCACAGTTGGGGTGGCTGTGTTTCTCAGTGTCTCTTTCCTGAACTGTTTTATTTGGTACATATAGATAAGGAGGGGGAGACACAGAGACAGAGAGAGTCTTCCACATCCCAGGTGAATGCTTTAAGTACTAGGCCTTCTGGCTCTTTTGGGGCAATTAGCTCTGTCTCATGTTTTGCACAAAACCACTAACGGCTGTTGGGCTCATTCTTCTGATACAGAATGGGAAAATTTTTTGAAATCTCAAAATTTTTCAGGATGGGAAACTATTTCCTAGCCAGCTATACTTACAGCATTGTGGAAGAAGCTGTAATTCTAAACTCCTGAGTCACACGTGGTTTGGACTCAAAAACTATACAACATTCAAAGTAAAACAGATGCTACAGTAATGAACGCAGAACACCAGAGCTCCTCTTTCTGCACGTCCCAGCAAAGAAAACAATAAACAAAGACATCTCAAACATTTCCCAAGAAACAAAACTAGCAAATAAACCACTTGCTTTCGCACTTGAACCAATAAAACCATTATACAGAACTCCAGGGTACAAAGTGCCTTCCAAAGGCACAAGAAATAATGGCTCACAATACTACATAATTGCAAATGAGAATTTTTTTTTAAACAAGAGCAAATGACAACAAACCTGCCATATAAATGGAATACATAATGGGGTATATGTTTTCACAGTTAAGGAGAGAGTTTAATCACACTTTTCTGGGTTAACCTCCATCCCACCCCCAGGCCAGTTGGGTATCTTTTGGTACATACATCTGTGTAGTACCCTTGCCAACTGTCTGAATTTTCAGGCAATCTGCTGGATAAAAATAAAACTGAATTTTTTACTAGTTAGAGTTTGACAAGTTTTAATTTCACAATTTAAAAAATGAACTGACTGCCTGCAACAATGGTTTTTGAGTCCCTGTTCAATCTGCCTTAGTAGCTGTTTTAATTCTCTGGAGGAGTAGCATGTAAATCTTTGGGATGTGAGAGAATCCAAATGTATGAATACAGAACAGAGCACAATCAGTTTAGGAGAATTGATGCTGATTCTCAGAGAGAGATTGATTGAGTTTGGGGGTGGTTTGCTCCTTGAGCAGATGTTTCGCAAACTTGCCCAGACTTACTCATGGTTACCAGAGAATCAGACGTTGGTACCAGTAGGCTAAAGTGTTATAGGCTTTGAGCTATATTCATCCATCCTGATTTTGCAGTGACCTTGTAACAAGGACCTTCCCTTTATTTAAAAAAGTGTCTATGTCCATAAATTTGAGTTCAAACTCTCCCTGGCTATCCAGCATCCTTGTGTCATATACCATCCTTTATTAGGTTCCATAAGCCTGACAATTGCACAGTAGCTTTTATCACCATTTCGTCACAGTACTTCTTTCTGACCCAAAATACTTGTCTCGAGAATGGGGTTACCAGTCTTGTTTTTTCAAATAAGGCCTACAGATGCAGCATGCTTACTTTGGGGAAGTATATAACATTTGCTGTGCTGGATCAGAGGAGGTGTAAGAAGTCTACTCATAGGCCATACTGAGACAGCCTGCTCCAAGAGGTTCCCCCCCCCCCCGTTAACCCCATTAGGTTTAGATTAAACCCAGAACCACAAGCTTGTCTGTCTTCCCCAGCTGTTATATTTCTGAGTATCCATGATATCTGTATTACTGTTATTGTCACGTGTGTCATAATCTTAGACATTGGGCCTGATTGTGATTGGGCCTCCATTGCAGGGTGAATGGTGGGCTCCCTCTCTACCTTGTCCAGCCTGTATTGTATTGTATTTTATTAATTCATCTCCAGTTCATCATCTTCCTACACTAAACAGTATTTTCTCTGCATGTGTAGTAATGCAAATGTTTTTATCTCCTTTTTGAACTGCAGCAGAGGAGCTGAGCTCGCTGTTTGAAAAAAAGAATTTCAAAGTCAAGTCTCCACATTTGGGGAAGCAGTCTATACTGTCTGTGCGACTTGAGCAGTGCCCACTGCAGCTGAACAATCCTTTCAATGAGTACTCAAAATTTGATGGCAAGGTAAGGGAACCAGCTTTTTTTTTTTTTTTTTTTTCCTCTGACATTCAGCTGTCTCCTGACCAGAAGGTTAGCTCAATCCTTCTCCCCTTATGAAAGTGTGATATGAAGATATTTGTTTAGGTTTTAATTAAAAAGCATAGCAGGTCTATAGTTAATTATCTTTAACGGGTTATCTAGAAACTCCTTTCTTTTAGTCTTAATTGCAATGGTTCCCAGGTGCAATAGAAGCATGAAAATACCGAGTGAATGATATGCATGCTGTGCCTTTGTACATGATGTTGTAGACTTGCATCCCCATTCCAACACATGGTGGCTTAAGTAAAATACTTAGTGCAGCTTTCAGACCTCTCACTCCTAGGCAGGTGGTGGTGAGAGCCTGAGTACCGATATTCTGTTGCATTACACACTGGTTTGATCTAACCTGTCTAGCTTCACGTCAGAAGTCTGTGCGTGTCTCGCTGTCATGCCCGTATTTATCCTTACAACACCTTTGTGAGGTAGGAAAGGACTTTATCCCATTGTGGAGCTGAGAAAATGAGGCAGAGAGAAACTAAAGGCTGAGTTCGGAGCTTCCACAAGGCTGAGCAACGCTGTACCTAACTTTTAGATGTCCCAGAGTGTAGTTCACAGCCCTGAGTTACACGACTGAGCTCTCTTTTGCAGTGAGTGGGGAGAGTTAGGTTATAAGCCCTGCACTCCTGGACTTTTCACCTGCTGTCCATGTTAGGTGCCTATGACCTTTTGTGGATCTAAGCCCAAGTGCCTTGTCCAAGCTTCCATAGAAGGGCTGGCAGAACAAGGAAACTACTAGACCATCTGTCCCTCCCTTTACCCACCTGTACTGCATAGTTGGTGGTATAAGGTTTGCTGGGGGTTTGCAGTGCTGTGTAGAGGGAGCGCATCAGCCTCTTTTCGTAGTCTGGACTTTTCCCACTCCTCGGTGCCTGGAAGTGGGAGGAGGCAGGAGTGGCCTGTATGCGTCATGTTATGGGAACAGTGAAGGAAGAGTGTTGTGAGCAATCTCCCAGGACTGCGTGGCCGCTAGTGTTTCTGCCACTGGTTTGGGCAACGTGTTAGAGTTTGGCTGAGGGCCATAATTGCTGGTGGGTTTGATAGTTGCCCAGAACCATCAGTTGAGCTTTGGCAGGATCTGAATTTATCCTCTAATTCCAGTCATTGGGTCTAGCTGTAGCTGTTGCTGAAATACATGCTGAATTGATGCGAGGGAAAATAAGTTAATCAAAATGAGGCAATTTGAAGATTTCTGTGTAGCAGTCCACACTGTCACCAGAGTTGGTGCATCCCTTAATAGTTTCATAGTTTCTAGGGTCGGAAGGGACCTG